GTTAACAAATTTCCTCTTTTATTTTCGGGCAACTTTCCCAAACCCCAACGGTATTTTTCTGTCAAAGAGATATTTGGCTCGAGTTTCTTGTTTAGAGAGGTTGTTAAAGAGAGACACCAAATGCAATAAAAAAGCTTGCTGGATTTTGTAATAGTAGTATTCTTTTGTTTTGCAGGTGTGATGACGTCATCACTATATCGAGTGAAATATTCGCTCTTGAAACGAATCAGGTGGTTTTTCTTTCAGCCAGGAAATCCCCTGGTGGAGTGCATCTCCATACATGTTAGCGGCTTTCCCCTCTTTTGCTTTAATATTATTAGTAAATGAGAACTAAAGAATGGTTTTTGACTTGTTCATAGAGCCATTTTCAGATGTTAAGATTTTGCATGACCTTCAATAGTGACAGTTTTGTGGCTGTAGAGTAAAAAAATCTTGGTTATAATAATCGCGAGATCGAAATAGTACCATTTTTCACGATCATGGTTTTTGTGTTTTTATCTAATTTCGCGACAGGCTTTTCCATATATGGTGAACTTACTGAGAAAGGCTCTAGTCAAGAGGAAATAATTTAGCTGCAAACTGAAAACAATTAAACAAATATAAGCATGTTTGTTTATGGAAATTTTTAGTTTTGTTTGGATTTTTTTTGGTTAATTTTGAAAAATGTGGAATGGTTAGGTGTTAGTGGGTATATTAAATTAATATTTAAAATAAAATAATTAAAATTGATTTGATGTAAAAGTAAGAGAGAGAGAGATTTGAAGTGATGGTTAGTTAAAATAATGTGAGTGGATGAATAGTGAATTAAGGTTGATGTGGTGTATATGAATGATTGATTGATATTATTTAATTATATTGATAATATTGATGATAGTAGGGTTAGGTTAAATTTGGGTTAAAAAAAGTGGTTGAGTTAAAATGTTATGAATTTTTTGAAAATTCTTGTAAACAAATATAATTCTTAAAACATAATATTATACGTATGTTTATGAAAATTTTCAAAAAATTTCTAACATTTTAACTCAAACATTTTTTTTAACTCAACCCCACTATCATCAATATTATCAATATAATTATATAATATCAATCAATCATTCATACACACCACATCAACCATCCACTCACGTTATTTTAACTAACTATCACATCAAATCATCTCTCTCTTACTTTTACATCAAATCAATTTTAATTATTTTATTTTAAATATTATTTTAATATATCTACTAACAATTAATCATACCACTTTTTTTTAAATTAATCAAACCAAACAAAAAATTCTAACACAACTAAAAATTTTTATAAACAAACATGTAGGAATCCAGACAATAAGAATTCATTTACTAAAGAAGGTAAGAGAAAAGAATGTTGGGAGGGCAGCACAGGAAGAAAAAAGTGTACCTGGGCCTTAAAAATATATTGACTTTTGGGCCATTTATGGAAATAGTAGTTGGACCAAATTTAGGCCAACTGTGGAAATATCATTTATCCAATTGTGAAGCCCAATTCTAATAATCAAGCCTTACACTCAAATCTACAATCTACATCACCCCATTTCCCACACGAAACAATTTGAACTTGGCCGAATTGCAATGCCAAGAAGCACGACAACTCATTTTGTTAAGTTTTGAGTTCGACTCAATTCTTTCTATTAAATGAGCCAAATTTAACTTTGTTTAGGACTCATTTATTTACCTAACTAGTTTAGGGTTGTTAAGGCTCTAAAAGATGTGGTTTTATGTAATTTTATAAATTTTTACCTTAGTTCGATTGTTAAAGTCGGAATTCAGCTTTTTACTATTGATAAACTTGTTGTGCTTAAGCTCGTTTTGTCTATCATTTAAACTTGGGCTCGACTCTTGAGACTATTGATAAGATACAAAGTAGTGCTCAAGATAACCATAAATACAAACTTTGTGCGAGTTAAAAGGGGAAAAAAATTGTTAATTTCATTGTCCAACACAAAAATTCCAGATAAGCACAGCAAGGAAGATACAAAAATTCCAATTCTCTTTGAATTTTTAATTTTTTTTTTTAATGTTTAATTTGTTGCAAAATTTTGAGTGGTCAAAATCGTTGGGAGAGGCCCGACAACCAACAACCAGCGTACCACGACCAAACCTCCCTGCTTTGCCTTCTCTACAATTCTTACCAATTTCAACTATAATTGCTTATTTATGTCATCACCATAAAAGCCCAGACGTTGCTATGCTATTATCCCTTCCATTTTGTTCAAATCCAAAAGGGGTAAAAAAAAAACCCGTGCCTGCAGATTTTCACGTGAACGAGGGTCCAAATTCTCCTATCCTAACAGAAACCTTAATCCTCTTTAAACCCCTGCAATTGGCTATCTTATTTCTGCTCTTCAGATAAGACCCTCAAATTTTTAGATGCCAAGGTCCGTATTTTCTCTGATCTNCCTGATTTTCTTTGAATAAATGTTGATCAAGTGAACCCACCTCAAAGACCCGACCTTTTTCCTCAAATCTTTCGTTACCCACATTCGCATTGCTCTGAATTGTCATGTGATTGGCTTTTCTTGGGTGTCTTTTTCTGTTTTTGTTAGAGCACATGAGCTCATTTTCACATCCTCCCCTTGTCTTTGCTGGTGCAATTATGTTCATTGTGCTTCATGCTTTTAGAGATATGAACTGCTAATAATTCCCTTCTTTCACTTGTCAGTGTGTTGTAATTTGTAAATGGCCTCAACAATGCTGAACTTAGTGAATTTGAATTCTGTTAAAACCGCAAAGTATGACTATGTGGGCCTGAAGCCGTTGAAAGCGAATCGGAATATTCTATATATGAGGCCTCATTCAACCAAAATCACACGACGTGCCCTAATGATAAAGGCCGATTATCACGATGGATCAATAAAGAAGACAAGGATGAGTGACGAGGAGTGTGAGGCTGCAGTTGTTGCGGGGAATATTCCGGAAGCTCCTCCGGTGCCCCCCAAGCCATCTCCGCCAGCTGGCACGCCGGTCGTGACCCACCTTGTAAGTAAAATTTATAATAGAGTTGAAATGAGCTGATTATATACTTCATGTGGCAGATCAAATTACTCATTTTATAGTCTTTCAAGTTTTGTAGTGTATGCTTCTACATGAATCCATTGTCTGAGAATGTTCAGATTTTGTAACGATTTTTGACGATTTTATTATATATTGTTTGTAACAGCCACTTAATCGGCGGCCACGTAGGAATCGTAGGTCACCGGTGTTGAGGGCTGCATTTCAAGAGACTAATTTAAGTCCATCCAATTTGGTTTATCCACTTTTCATTCATGAAGGTCATTGAAACTCCCACTTGATTTCTCCAGAAGTTTTGTGACCACATTTTAAATATATATTATCTATTTTGACCGTGTTTAAGCACTTACAACATAAATAATAATGTTCAGGTGAAGAGAACACCCCAATTGGAGCAATGCCTGGATGTTCTAGGCTTGGCTGGCGACATGGACTTGTGGAAGAGGTATATTGCCTTCTTTCTTTCCTTAAAAAAAAAAAAAAATGTTTTGCTTTTAGCTTTTGAAAGCACAAGATGTGCTTGAAACCCATACTTTTCGTGAGTTTGTAATATTTTTATCTAGTTCAGATTTATCTGCAGTGGCTAATCTAGAAAAAAATACCTTTTTACTTGAGATTATTTTCATATATTGATCACTGATTTTGGTTTGTTTGAACATGTGAATGTGACTATCAATTGATATCTTTAAGGTGTCTAAGGCTCGAGATGTTGGTGTCAACAGCATTGTGCTCTTTCCAAAAGTTCCTGATGCTTTAAAGGCGAGTCTTTTTGGCATTTTATTGGCTGTTATTTGTTTAGCATGGAAATAAAAATTCTTCTTTTCCAATTGTGTTAAGGGGCTGATGACATTTAACTTCATTGATATCCTGGTTAGACTTCTACAGGAGACGAAGCTTACAATGAAAATGGACTGGTGCCTCGAGCAATACGGCTACTGAAAGACAAGTATCCGGATCTCGTATGTTTTTCTCTTATTTTTTTTTATTGGTCAATCTAAGCTAGTAGGTGTATTCTAGGCTAATTAGTATTGTTTTCTTGATGGTTATTTATTGACATAATATTGCTTGTAGATTATATATACTGATGTTGCTCTTGATCCATATTCCTCTGATGGGCATGATGGCATAGTAAGAGAAGACGGTAAGACGCGCTGGTAATTTATTTAGGTTTTTTTAA